CTGGTTCATCGGGCTAAACATCAAAAGGGAGAAAGGAAACCCGCAGTCCTGAAAACTTACTCCCTCAACCCCACACCCCCACACCCCTTCTCCCGATATTCCAGAGGTCTCTCCTCTCTGCCCCCAGGACTGCTGGGCAGGGACGGAGAGACCTGCAGCCTGGAAGGAGAGCTAACTAAGGTGTGACCCCAGGAGGCACATCAGTGCACCCTAGCGGGCAGCAAGCAAGGCGTGTGGCTGGCTCTGCAGCCAGGTTTTCCAGCTGGACAGAAGGTTCTGGCACTTTGCGCCACGGGACTCCCAATGAGCTTACTTGCGAGCAAGGCAAACTGAGACATTAGCGTCCGTAAGGGAGACGCTTTGTTAATAGCAAAATATTGGTGACTGCCACGACTTCTCACTCATTCAACGTCTGATGGCCCGGGCTCTGTCTAAGGCCCTGAAAGCAGAAAAAGGAACAAAAAAAAACTGATCTGGCTCCTCGAGGCAGAGGCAGTTTTGTTCAGCCATCCGCTCGGTCAGCACCAGCACCTCTGGGAGACAAGGAGCTCTGGCCCTGGAGCGTGAATGGGACGGACGTGTGTGGCCTGTCCTCCTGCAGCCCAGAGTCCGGCGTGGCCAGCAGGTCAGCACCCCAGGCGGGTTCCTCAGGCACAAACAGCACTCGGCTTCTTCGCGGTGACAGTGGGAGAGTCTCAGGGAGACGGGAACTGTCGGGGGTGAACGGAAATTCCACTGGGGGAATCGACGTTTAAGGATTAAGGATTCTGAAGTCAAGCGTTGTGATTTATAAATTTGATTTGTTGCTGAGTTCTTGAAAACAGGCATTCCTGGAGTTCATCCCACCGACTTTGGGGCTTACAAACAGTCACAACATCATCAGCAGAGAAGAGGTCTGACCGCATCTCACTGATTCGGGCACAGACATTGTTGATGTAAGAGCAGCTTCCATCCACCGTGTCCCGGAATCCAGCTTCCGTTTTCCTGGTGTGGCCCCTGAGCCTGGAACAAGAAGCGGATTACACGAGAGGCCGACGTTCTAGCGTCAGCGTGAAACCCGGGTCTTAACCAAAAGGCCTCTGATCCGCATTGACTTCATTTGTCCTTCATTCAGCAGCTGTACTGAGTGTGTTCTTTACACCCGGCCCGTGCCTGGCGCTGAGAATCCAAAGGGAATGTGACCCGGCCTCTGGCCCTGCTCACCTTACTTACTGGGTGTCTGGTAGACGGAAGACTTCCGGGTCAACACGCAAGTACAGCCCAATGTCACCTGTTTGTGCAGTAACTCAAACTCAGGCTGAGCCTGGGAGACGTGAGAAGGACTGCTGAAGACAATGGGATCTGAGCTGGGTTTCAAACAGGAGCTGACCAGGCGAAGAAGGAAGGGGAAGACTTGTTAGGAGGGGGAAAGGGCATGGAAAATGGCACAGAGCTCCTCTGACTGAGAAACGTTGAATTCAGACCATAGGGTTGATGGGGACAGAGGAAGGAGAGTGGTCGGACTGGGGCCACACAGAGTTGCCTGGAGAAGGCATTATTGACCGTTACTCTATATTATGTGACTGAGTGAATTTTATTCTCTAAATAGAAAGTCAAATCTGTAGGTCTGGAGACAGGCAGTAATGTACTATAGGTGAAATCTACGACTATTTCTAAGGCCATATAGCACATGCACGCACACACACTATCCTGTGTCTTCAATCAAAATGCTTTGCCCTCAGAATGACCCGGACAGAGCGGGGAGAACCAGCATAGTCAAAGTGACTGCTGGCCAAAATGGCCAAATGAGGCAAATCCCTCCCAGACAATATAAGGAATGGCAGCTCATGCTGTATACTGAAAATGTGTTACATAAAACCCACCGCTGTATTCATTCAGTCTATCGTTTGGCCCCTGAAAGATGATAGTCCCGTAACCAAGGTGCCATCATGTCCAGAATTTCCCTGAGCACCCCCCGCCCCGCGCGCCTTGTCTCTGGTCCTGGGGCTGGAGGGCAGAGTGCCAGGTCAGAGGTCCCGGGCCGGGGGGAGTCTTCAGGTCCTGCTGCCTCCTCTGTCCCCGGACCTTACCCATCCCGGTCCTTTCTCCACACGGCAAGGTGGGATTTGGGAATTAGTGGAACAGAGGATGAAGATAGCTGCCCCTGGACATAATTTTTCACTGAATTAAATCCTCGGGGAAAAAAAGGACCTTAGGTGGCAAGTAGCAAAGCCCCAGAGCCTCAGATGTCTAAGCGCACCGTGTGTGACAGGAAGCCCCTGAGGGTGACACTGCCCCAGACCCATGACAGCTTACTGCCACACCTCCTGGCGCCTGTCTCCCTCCCAGACAGCTCGGACAGGCAGCGGCGGTTTCTGGAGCGTTCGCCCGGGAGGTGTTAGCGCGCCCAGCTCCGCAGCCTCCCTGCTCCGAGTGCAGAAGAGCTGACCCCCACCGACGCCTCAATGACAGCAAGCCAGGGACATCAATAAAACTCATTATAAGTGATAGCAGCCTTTCAAACAGGCATGCGGCTCGGAGAATTAATTCCTCCCACCCCTCCGAGGAAGCTTTGGTGAAATTAAAGTGCGGATAGTCGTGCCCACGAATCTCCCATTTCCTGCCTGCGTTCGTCGGGAATCTAGGTCAGGGCAGTGCTCCTCCTCCACGTCTCCGCCGGTACAGGCCTCAGAAGGGCAAACCCCAAGTTTGCACGCCCCTCCCTTGCCTTGCCCGTGCCCCTGCAGAACACCAGGTGTCACGAGGACAGCCACACTGACACTCGTGTGTCCAGCAACTTCAGCACCAAGTCAAGAGGTTGAGCCTGGACTCGGGCAGCGTGCATCCCGGATGTCGTTAGCAACTCAGAGCAGCTGTTCTGCACTGTCAGCCCGGAAACCAGGTCATGAACTTCACCTTTGCCCGTTGACCCCCGAGGGCCCCCCAGTGCTGCTGTAGGTGCTGCCCTGACCGGTTGTTCTAACGCAAAGCCCTGTCCTTCCCTGTCTCTCCGGCCTCTCGGGTGTGAGTCAGTCGCCCTCGTGAATGACAGCGTAACAAAGAAGTCATCGTTTGTATAGCGTTCCTAACCAAAAAACAACTTTCACGAATATGTAAAATTAGAGCTTAGAATTTTATCGAGCAAATGCTTTAAGTTTTTTGAAAGAAGAAAATGATCACCTGTGATGGTAGAGCCTTACTATGATTATTTCCGTTTCACATGTCACTTCCAGTCTGTGTCCTCAGGGGAACATTGTTCATAGTTGTGCTCCAGTGGAAAGAAGGTTCATTCCTCCTGCTGTTTGCTTTCCTTACGGTCGGATCTTCCTCCGCGTCACATTGAATAGCTGGTTGAACGTATTTCTCTGGGCTGCTAATTTGCGATTTCTTTAATGGTTCACCCAGTGAAGGGAAGACATGCATTTAGTATCACATACTGTGTTCTTTGCTTGCTTTTCAAGTTTTTTAGGAATAACCCCAGGAGTGGGATTTCTCGTTCTTGATGTGGACTGCCTTACTGATGTTTTCAAGAGGATGATACCAAGTCTTGGTACCACTAGTGGGACCAATGACCGTTTTTATTATAAACTAAATGACCTGAGAGACATGACAAACTTAATAGAAAAGTTGTTTATTGTTTGTTTTGGGGAGGTCCTCTCTAATATTATCAGTCTTCGCTGGGCCGGCCTCAGTGGAGGCCTAAGGAAGAAGAAATGAGAAATTGAGAGAAGGGTAGTTTTGCAGAATACCCCATTCTGTGACTCACCTCCTTCCCTTCCCTCGTTTCTGTTCCCGGCGGGTGAGGAGGCCGTGAGAGTGCGAGATGCTGGTAGGTCTGGACTTGAACAAGCGCCTCTCCGTCTTAATGAGGGACCCGCTGGGAGTGAGCCAGACACCGACCGGCCCCCAAGAGCCACACGGCTTGATGGTTGGTGGTGTCAGGAGAGGCAGCCAGCTGATGCTGAGCCTTTTGAGTTCCCTCTGGGTGAACACTCTAACCCACCTGAAACTCTGAATGCTGGAGGCATTGACCTCTTCCTGCCTTCTGTCTTCCTTCTGTGGCATTCTTCTGTGACAGTGGCCCAAGGCAAGTCCTCTGATAGCGTGTAAGGCAGAGGGTGATAGCAGTGGATGCCTGGTGGGTGCTTACTGAGGGTGCAGCTCTGGAGGAGGGGTGGTCGTGAGCAGTGCTGGTTAAAAAGGCACAAAGAAGGCAGGCAGGCCACCTCAAGGGTCCTAACAATGCAGAACACCAAAGTGCACGCACTTGACCCTTCCCCTCCATGTCAGGGGGCGCTAGGGTGTTGAGATGTGTGATCATTCTTGTCTTCTAAAAGTTGTATCCTGCTGAATGCTAGCACAGACCAGTAGAATAATCATCGTACCCAACATTGCACGGTGCAGACAATTCGAGAAGTGCATTTTAACACATATATTAGACTTGACAGAGTGTGTCTCAAGCAAGGTCATTCAACTACAATGAAATGATAGTGTCACTTAGGCCTTGGTCCCTTGGGTGTGGCTCATTCTGTCCGCACTCAGCAGATAGATGCTCGCCAGCGCATGGACCCAGGCGTTCTGACATCGAGCCCGTGTTTCCCCCGGAGCTGCTATAGGATAAAGTCTAGAGTTTGTGTGGCCTTTGCTCCACAGTCGTTTTGAGATCAAGAGATCTGAACATGTAACCTAAAGATGATGGGTTCACCCCAAAATCTAACTACCTCCTGGGCGTTAGGAAATGTGTGTTCCTGCAAACGCCCTTCTGTCTGGGGGTGATCGGGACAGAGCAGTCCTGATGCTGCTGATCGGGAAGGAGCTCGCAGCGTGCCACGGCCTCGCAGCAGCGCGGAGCGGAAGGGGCGAGAGGCACGGCTCCGGGCGCTGTGGCCTCGGACAGCCCGTCGGCCTGCCGCCTCTCTGGGTGCACTGGGAGCCGCCTCCGCATCCAGCTGCAGCCCCTCGTGGCTGCAAAACCCTCGTGCCGGCCTCCCCGAACACGTGTTTGCTCTGCTCTCTCGTAGGAGGTGCTCGAACTGGCCTTCTCCATCTTGTACGACTCCAACTGCCAACTGAACTTCATCGCTCCTGACAAGCATGAGGTAAGGGGCTCAGGGGGGTGAAGAGATGAGAGAGGGTCACGTTTTCTCTAGAAAAACAAGCCGGAGAAAAATGCTGGAAACACAGAAATTTTCTTTAAAAAGGAAAAGCCTGCCTGAGGAAAATCAGGAGCAAAGCAACCTCTTGTTGACGTGGAAAGGGCTGGGAAAACTGCCAGCTTCTCGCGAGCTCATGGAATAGTCCGTGACACAGAAAAGGGACGCACAGAGCGGTAGGACTCGGGGCAACCCAAAGGAAGCAGCAGCCCTGGTTACAGCTTCAGAGGTGCCATTGAATATTTAGGTTTTGGTCCTGATTGCCCCAAGATACACTTGCCTCTGTTCTTTAAACTGTTTGATATACCTGAAACTAATATAAAATAATATGGAATGTAAATTGGAATTGAGAAGTAAAATTTAAAAAAAAAATTTGATAGAGTAGGTTTCCGACCATGTTTCTTTAAATTACTTTGAGAAGTTCAGGGCTGTCTCTGGTGTTCAGTTTTATTTTTAAGATGCTTTTATTCCCTCTTGACATCTTGTTATGTGTACAATTTGTTTCTCTCCTTGAGGCACGCTGTCAGCTATATTTAAAATATTTAGCATAAAGCTGGGAAAATGCATTTATAAGATAAAGTAGCAGCTATGGCTGATTTAACTTTTTATCCTGTAAGCTAGCGTCCGACATCATGCTTGAAACTCTCCATTTTCGTTTTGTGCGTGGTTGCATAAACATCTTTCAGAAAGGAAAGGAACGCTTTCCTAAAACATGGCTTTTGTTCCCTGGCTCCCCCAGGAGATGTAGCTCATTTAGAAGTTATTCAGTATCGGGTTTACACTGGTTGGAAGCTTTTGAATAAAATTGTACACCCCAAAGAGAGAGGGGAGATTAGATGCAAATCCCGCATTTAGAACGGTGTTTAAATATAATTCTGTGCTGCTTGGCATTTCGTCTGCAGAAGGGCACGACTCTGTCTTCATCTCCCTGAAAATAGATTCAGTGTCCTGCTGTTTCTCTTTCTAAATGAAACTGTGGTCGCGCACAGGCCGGCACACTCAGGATGTACACAGCTGCGGAGCGCACCACCTAACACCACGGTAGGGCCGTGGATGTCATTTACAGCGAGGCTGTTTGCCCCAGTGCACGTTAACTCCAGACAATGACAGCGTTCTGGGACTGCCCCTGGCGACGCGGTGGGGAGGGACCGCTGCGTGCTTGCACTCTGAATCACTTCAGACCACTTCACGTCTGTTACCTCGTTTTATTTTTTTAAGATTTTATTTATTTATTTTTAGAGAGGGAAGGAAGGGAGAGAGAGAGACAGAGAGAGAGAGAGAGAAAGAGAGAGAGAAACATCAATGTGCGGTTGCTGGGGACCTGCAACCCAGGCATGTACCCTGACTGGGAATCGAACCTGAGATGCTTTGGTTCACAGCCCTCGCTCAATCCACTGAGCTACGCCAGCCAGGGCCTGTTACCTCATTTTATTGGCATCGTTGTGCCATAAAACAGAAAGTTTTATTACAGACGTCCTCATTTATAAATGAGGAAGGAGACATTTCCAAGGACGGAGTAGCTCAACAATAGTAAAGATAACAGTAACTACAACTGTTCCATGATGTACGTACTTCATCTCACTTGATTCTCATCTAAAACTCCAAAATGACAAACTAATAGTATCCCCATCTTATTAAGGAGGGGAATGAGGCACAGGGAAGCTAAGACACTCATCCAAGGTCAAACCAGGACTGAGCGGCAGAGCTGGGATTTGAACCGTGGGGTGTCTGCTCCAGAAACCCCTTCTCTTTGGCTCCTGCACGGTGGGGCTAGGAAGGGAGAAGGAAGCAAGCGGGGCCTGGACTCACAGCGCCCCGCCTGTTCCCATCCCCCGGCCTCAGCAGTTGCGGGCCCGCAGCCAGCCTGGTTCCTCTCTAGCACCCACACCCAGCTGCATCCCCAGAGTAGTTTCTAAGCCAATCCAGACCCCACACCGTTTTATTTGTAAGTATTCCTGCACACATCTCCAAATAATGAACGGTCCACTTGGAAACCTAACTACAATACTGTTGTCACACCCAATTGCATAATGCTCTGATGCCTCCACCGTGTGCAGCCACTTTTCACGTTTCTCCAGCTGACTCATTAATGTGTTTCCCTTCTCTACTCTGTTCAGATCGGAATCCAAATAATATCCATGTGAGGCAACCAGTTAACAAGTTTCTTACGTGGGCTTGAACCCGTAGGTTCGCTCTCCCCCGGAGCCCCCCGGAGCTCCCCGGTTTCTTGTGAGCATGTGCACGTGCTTGTTTTAATTGAAATTTATTCATTAAAAGAGAAAAAAAAACGGGTCCTCTGTCTGGTAACATTGCCACTAGTCTAGATTTTGTTTATTATAATCCTGTGTGTGTGTTTACCGTGGCTGCTGTCGCACGTGGCCGCACACTCAGAGGCTTAAAACAACATACGTTTACGATCTTTCAGTTCTGGAGGTCAGAGTTCTGACGCGGGTCTTTCTCGGCTAAACTCAAGGTCATCCGCAGAGCCGAGTTCCTTTCCCGGAGCCTCGGGAACACCCGTTTCCTCGGCCTTCCCGGCCCTGGACACTGCCCGCGTTCCGTGGCTCGTGGCCTCCGCCGGGAACAGCGATGTTACGTCAGATCCTCCCGTCGTCTCCCACAGTCAGACCCCCTCTGCCTGCCTCTCCTCTCTCTGACTCCCGTTCTGTTCCCTCTGCCGCTTGTAGGGACCCTTGCGATTGCATTCCCACACGGACAGTCCTCATCATCCCCCCGTTTCAGGATGAGCTAACTAGAACCCTTTGTCCCCTCGGCCATGGAACCAGCGTGCGCGTGGGTTCTAGGGCTGGACAGGGCCCCCCCGGAAAGCAGGGGGTTGTTCTCCCTGCTGCAGCCTGCACGGCTGTGTCACGTGTTCACCCGTCTCCTCTGTTTCTGGTTAAGTCATAATTAGATGATTAGTCAGACTCTGGCTCAACTCTGGGCAGCATAGACTGATGTTCTTCCCCGGGGTCTGGTTATCTCTCTTTGGGGGGAGGTCAGCAGCCACGGATGATTATTACTGCCTCGGTCCCTGGATCCATCAGAGGTTGCAAAAGGTTGCTATCCCAAATCTCTCCTTCCTTCATCATTTTAAGTGGGATGGTCACATAAAGAGGAAATGGCCTTACTGACCATTTGGCTGCCCTGAGGTCGTACCATGTGGACACGACAGGCAGGATACATACGTGGTTTCTTTTACCTTCCAAATAATGAGCATCTTCCAGAGGAGACTGATGAGGTGTTTTGGGTATGTGAGTATCCTTACGAAGTAATGGATATAAACATATTTTTTTAATTTAAACATTTAAACATAGGTTGCTGTCATTGTCACTGTCAGTGTCCCTATCTAGAGAAAGTGGGAACGCCCTTTGTTGGCTTCTGAGTCCTGTTGACGTGGCCCGGGTGTCTTGGATGATTTTGAGTCGTTCTGGTATGACACAGTACCCCAGGCTCCTCTGGTATGTCTCCTGCCTTTTCTTTATGGAGCTTCGGTTGCCTTTAGTTTAGCGACCAGAATCTGGGCATTGGGTGTGCTCATTGCCACTTGGGTGGTCATTACCTCTAGGCCTTTGTGTGGACAGAGCTACGAGTTATGATTCTCTAGAAGACAGAACGCATCATACATTTATACAGATACTTCCCACTCAGACTCAGTGCCACAGCGTTGCTATTTATCGGCTGATATACTTTTTAAATACAATGTTCTATGCCTGCCGCCTCTCAAAAGGAAGGAGCCACAGAAGTGTCCCCGCGGGCTAAATTCATCTGTGTTAGGGAGCTCGCCGGCGCTGGGAAGGCTGCTCGGGGTGGCAGCAATCCCCGGACTCGGGGATCATGACGAGACAGTGTCGGACCTGCAGACAGGGGGCCTCGGGGAGCAGTTCCGGGGCACACACACCCGGAGGCACCGCACAGACAGCTGGGAGCTTTTCCTTGTTGTTCTGTTACAGTTGTGCCAATGTCCCCCACCTCTTTGCCGCCCTCCGCCCAGCCCACCGCCCCACGCCCCACGCCCACAGTCCCTCCCCGCACCATTGTCCATGCCCACGGGTCATTCGTACAGGTTCTTTGACCAGACCCTGCCCCTTCTCGCCACCCTTACCTTTCCCCCCTCCCCTCTGGTCACTGTCGGTCTGTTCCTTGTTTCCCTGCCTCTAGTTCTCTTTTGCTCATTATTTGTTTGTTCGTTAGGTTCCTCGTATAGGTGCGATCACATGGTATTTGTCTCTCACTGCCTGGCTTATTTCTCTTAGCATAATCCTCTCCAGTTCCATCCAGTTTCCTCTCCCGAGATCTGTAACATAAGGATCTCCAGGGTAGGACCCAGGTATTTATTTTCACTAAAGTTATTTATAAAGCAATGAATGCTTGGGTGTGTTCAGAACCCATATTAAAGTGTTCATGAGGACGCCAATACTTCCGCAAAGCCCCGAGCACTCAGCTAAGGTTAGACGGGTTCAAAGCTTTGGCCGAGCTCCCAGAGCCAGGGCAGGAGCGAAACCCACAGGTCCGGGCTGCAGCAGCCAGACTTGGCCTTGTCCCACGCCCACGGGGCCCCCTCTTTCGGCCTAAAGAGCGGTGCCACCAACATGCATCACAGGAGAGTTCCGTCCCATCCCTGTGACCTCAGGTTTGCGGCAGTCTTACGTCGACATCTATATATCCTAGTAATCACGGTGTCAGGGACAGGCTGACTAGGGCCTGGAATTGCAGCCTGAGACAGGGAGGGCGGTGCAGGGTGGGAGGGGTCTCATGCTAGAAGGAAGGCCAGTGGGACGAGAAGAACAGAGCAGTGACTGTCGCTGAGGTCCCAGACAGGCCTGGGACAGCTGACCCATCAGCAGAGCACAGGGTCCAGAACTCACGCGGTTGCCTGAGGTGCGGGCGGCAGCGGTGAGTCTTCTCGCCGGGCACCGCGGCTCCACGACCGTCATGGCAGGACCCCGGCCTCCGGGCGGGACGCTGCCAGGAGCAGGGTAGGTGCTCAGGTGAACGGGACACAGCGCCCCCCTCCGAGGGTTCACAGTCTCCTGGAGAGGCGGAGGGTGAGATTCCTGTTGAGGGGTGGGGGGTAACCGAATACTCAGGGGGCTACTCCGGAGGGCTTTCCACGTGAGGTGCTGTCCTCAGGGGCTACGCCCCGGAGGCCCGCAGGAGGGAAACCCTGGGAGCTGAAGGTCCAGGGGGAGGAGGCCCCCGACAGGCAGTAACCCAGCACCCGCCGAGATCACCCAATAACGGCGGACGTGTTGTCTGCCAGACATGGGGCGGCAGCAGGCCATCCCCCGGCCCTTTTGCTAAGAAAGACAGAGGTAGGCCCACCGTTGATTCCAGGGTGGTGCACGGTTGTGCTCATGCGTGCCAGGAATCGGAGGGGACAGGGCTCGGCTACTGGACCAGGAAACGCCTGCAGTTGGGCAAGGAGCAGGTCTGACCCGATATTTCGTCCAGGAGCGTTGGCACGCATTCCGCCAGTACCCTAAAGTGACAGCCCCCCGGGAGGGGTGTTAGAGACATTCTGTGGCACAGTCGTGGAGAACTCCGATCCTGCTCTTACATAGGGAGGCATTTTTTGCACAGAGGAGCACAGGCACTGGAGTCTGATTCCACAGGTTCAAATCCCACCCACTCCACGTTACTAGCAAGCTACTGAACTTCTCTGTGCCTCAGTTCTCGTAAAACAGAGACAATAACAGAAATAGCAACCTTGCAGACATGTTGTGATGTTATAAATAGCGATGGAGGCCGAGCACTCGGCACAGAGCCTAGCACGTGCGGAGTAATCCGTAAGTGTGAGCTGTTGTTACTGCTCTTCCAAGTGCCATCAGTAGTGACCCCTGTCACCTCCTTTCCCACCAGTACTGCATCTGGACGGACGGGCTGAACGCGCTGCTGGGGAAGGACATGATGAGCGAGCTGACGCGGAACGACCTGGACACCCTGCTCAGCATGGAGATCAAGCTCCGCCTGCTGGACCTGGAGAACATTCAGATCCCCGACGCGCCCCCGCCCATCCCCAAGGAGCCCAGCAACTACGACTTCGTCTACGACTGTAACTGAAGGGGCCGCCCCGGAGCCGCCCCTCGGGAACTGGAAACCCAGCGAGCGGGAGAGGAGAAGGAAACCACAAAACACGCCGCCGGCGCCGCCTCGGAACCCTCCTGCAGAGGGGAGCGTGTGTCAGCGCTCCCTGCGGCCTCGCCTCGCACCCCCGAGTTTCTGCCCCTGCCGCCTGACGCCTGGCTCGCCGCCCCGGTTCTGTTTCTAGACGCCGCTGCTTTAGGTCGCTTCCCGTCGTGCAGTCTACTGGTGGGACGGGGCAAGAGCAAAACCCGCCACCGGCACGAGAGCCAAAGGGCCCTCCCCGCTGCCCCCTCCCCGCTGCCCCCACCCCCCACCCCCCCGCTGGCATATCCCCCCTTCCTGGCGTGTGACACGGCTGCGGCGCCAGGCTGCCCCCAACCAGCCGCCAGACCGAGGGAGAGCCCTGAGCGCAGCTGGTGCCTGGAAGGAACAGCCTAACTACTTGAGAAGAACAAACACCACCTCCTCCTTCCCCTTCTCCCTAGAGCCCGCTCACACCGCCAGTTCCACGTGAACCGAAATCTGCTTTCGAACCCACTCCCTCCTCCACTCCAGCCTCGGCCTCGCCCCGTTCCTTTCTGGTCCCGAGAGCAGCAGTCGCTGCCTTGTCCTAGTTCTTGCCAGCCTTGGGTCCCCAGACACAGTCCACAGGTCCCATGCGCGCTTCATGTCTGCACTGTGACCCCGACCAGCCTCCCTTCCTCACCAGCCAGTCTCGGGGTTCCTCCCCCGCCCGGGCCTGCCCCTGCCTTCCCCGCGCTCACACACCCTCCCAGCCCCGTAGCTGAAAGCACAAGAGGCAAGCTCGGTCTTCACGCTCCATCTCTAACAGGACATCCAAAACCTCCCTGCCTCTGCGACAGGCGGCTGCGAGCTGAGGGTCCGGCGTTACCTTCTCCTGGGCGGGGGCGGGGGGGCGCTTCCGCTGCAACAACCCGGGTTCCACAAGACGGTCAAGGTGTGAAACGTCCACGTTTACATCGTTGTAATTATTACAGGTGTGGACAGTCTGCAAGGGTTTGGGGTTGGTTGTTTGGTTTTTTTTTTTTTTGCTTTGTTTTTGTACAAAAGAGTCTAACATTTTTTTGCCAAACAGATATATATTTAATGAAAAGAAGAGATACATAAATGTGTGTACTTTCCAGGTTTTTTTTAATTATTTTAATCCTAAACATCTTCCTGAGAATAACATCTCCTTAAACACGCTGTGGAATAAAGTTCATTGTGGTGAGTTGGGGAGCCGGTGCGTTAATGTGGTGACTTCGGTTCTTGCTGTCCGGTCGTCAGGGTCACCGCGAGCCTGTCAGACACATGGCATCTTTGGCCCCACCCCGGACCCGCAGACGGGGTTCCCATGCACACTAGGGGACTCCAGAGCACTGCTGGTCACCATGGGCTCCGGTGTCGGGCAAGGGTGTTGCTTCTAGGAAGACCATCTAAACACGGAGAAAATCAGGCCCGCTATGTAAAAACACGATCTGTGCACCATACACTGTGGCCTTTGACCGTGACCTTCTCGTTTATGTTCGTCTCTTTGCCACTATATAACGTGTAGAACGGACCCAACTAAACACCTCACACTTGCAGGGAGCCACGAAAAAGAAGGCAAACCCGCAGACCAGGAACAGGTTAAGCCAGCGCTAAGTAAATCCCACTGTGAACTAATAAAGCATGGGTCAGAGGCCAGCGAGGGGTTTTCTGGAAGTCAGTTCTTCCGGGGGCCTGTCCGGATCATCCGCTTCGAGGGGAGGCGTCAGCAGGGTCCAGGGTCCAAGCACGCGGAGCTCAGCACGGGGCAGCACAAGCCGCCACGGCAGAAGCGTCAGATGCCGACAGGTCCCTGCTCTTCATCGTCACCAAGATGTGCACTGCAGATTGACCTGAGTCCAAATGCCGTGGTTCAGGCTCTCCATACAATTGCGGGGAAAAGCAAATCCTTGAGAATGCGTAGTGATGCACGGGTGACGGTGCCTTCCACCGGAGCGCACGCGCACCACTGAGCGTCCAGTGGACGCTTCCTTTATCGTTAAACTCTGATGACATTAACTGCGTGTCCTTCACGTCAGGGGCACGTGTCCATCTGCCCACCATCATGATAAAATGATACACGTGATAAGCATTCAGTAAAAGCAAGCAGACGGAGTCATACCACTTTCTATGTAGGAGTTACCAGACACTGTCCACGCAAAGAGGAATTCTTTGGACCACGATATCGGAGGTCCTGGCACTCTGGGTGTGAGAGATCGATCTGTCCAATGGCCCTTGCTGGGCAGAACCAGCCCCTCTCTCTTCTGCAACTCTTGCTTTCAGTAGAAACCAGCCCTCTCGGGACTATAGAGAGAGCATCATCCTAACTCTCCTTAGACCCTGCTCCCTCAGACAGGGGAGATCCTGGGAGTGTGGTGTCACTGTTCGGTAGTCCCAAGCAAGAACCATGTGAGCCCAGACTGGCGCACGCAAGGGAAGAGGCGGGGTGGGGGAGGGTAAGAGTACTGAGAGGGCAGAATGCGCTGCCTTTTAAGCAGGGGGGAGAGACGAAGCACGCCAGTGACTTCCGAGTTTCCCGGATGGTGAGTAAGCAGATGACAGGGCTGTTCTGTGACATCTGGAAGAGATGGGGAACAGCAGGTTTTCGGAAACCATAGTGAGGGGAGGTAACGAGACGAACTCGAGATGGCTGGACTTCTCCAAAGAAACTAGATGGTGGGCAAGTCACTGAGTCTCGGTGAGCCCCTCACCTCACAAAGTGGAAACGGCCTCGCTTCCGAAGGCTGGAGACGGGTGGCTGCGAACCCACACCCCGCGCTCAGTGAGTAAACCCCCCTGCCTCGCCTTCCATGCCAGTATCCAAAGCCGGACGATATCCGAAACACTCTCCCCTGAAGATCACTTTCAATGCAATGAAATCTGTAAATGCAGTAAAAAGGATTTTCGATGATTTGACTTGAGCTTGTGTTAAACACATGAAACCCACAGGTGCCAGCCGTGGAGACAGAACTGGGATCGGGAGCATGGAGCCTGTGGTCGCGGCCGGGGCCTCCCCGGGCTGTGGGTGGCCTCGGCAGGTCTCGGAACTCTGCCACCCAGGTAGGGATGGGGGGCAGCCTCCAGCGTGTGCTACCTGAGAAGAGAGCCGGGGTCGTCCCGCAAAAGCCAGGATCCTGGAAGGGCTCGGCTGCAGGTCAGAAGGTGGAGATCGACCCATTGGTGCAGGAGCATAACATGAAATCCTGTCTGACTGGTCTCTGGGTAGAAGACGACTTGCCTAAAACATGAAACCTTGGGCCTGCAGCTGTCGTGCTTTTAGGATACATTTCACTGCCTCCATGGGCTTCTGGAACGCCCGCCTTGGAGACTGACATAAACCACCGGCTGGGCTGGGCGGGGCGGGGCGGGGCGGGGCTGGGCGGGGCGGAGCTGGGCTCCGGGCAGAGGGGAAGCTCTGTCTGCGCCCCATTCCGGCTCTCACTCGCTGGCCGTGAGTCTCCAAGTGAGTTATTCCCTACTTTGTAGAACCTTGTCTGTAGAACCCTTCATAACAACGGTTGAAAGATTACGTTAAGTCATGTTTTGAAGGTCAATAGTATGCAGTAAACTCCCATAGCTGGAACTTTCTGTTGCCAAAAATCTCCCAGGCTCCAGGCCGAACACGTGGGTCTCCTGGTTTCCATAACATTCACACTTGTTCCTCACGCGTTGCTACTGAGCCTGAGTTTCACTATGCAAATCTTACCCCCACCTTCCCGGGGGGTAGTGTGGGGTGTTGAACAACTGGGCCAGACCCTGGGTATTACCTGGACAGCCAGGATCAGTGCTCCAACCAGCAGGAGCAGAGCTAAACATGGAAACTGAGTCAACACGCAGGCGTCAGGCAGAACCGGCAGGTGGTGGGAGCAAGGTTAGAAGCTAAGGGGCATTTCATGTGGTGCCGGGAATAATGGGAAGTCTCTGCAACCTGCTTCGCTTGGACACGGGACAGGCGCTCCCTGCGTGGTTCTCGCTACCCTTTCCTGACCACTCAGTGGCGGACATGGTGCTAAAGGCCTCCGTTGTAGTGTATCATTCTCCCCCAGCTCCACCAGGAGACTGGTAGTGCTGCCCATTTCACAGAAGAGAAGCTCAAGGCTGAGAGAATTTAGGTCACTCTCCAAGGTCGCACAGTGAGGAAAGGGTTGAATCGGGGTCTGAGTAGGCTTTCTCTGATCCCGTGGGCCATACAGACTCCAAAGGACAGTTCATGGTGGCCTGTGCCCTCTGATTCTCACACTGTCTGTTTTTGATGCCAGTTTGGGGCTTGACATTTCTCTCTCGGATGGGCAAACAGGCCACCACATTTTGTTAGTGGGTTTCTTTATCTCTAAAATTTTACACGTCTCCGCGAGCCCTGTTGAGCTGTGCCCTGGTGCCTGGGCCTGCTTGGGGTCCCCCAGTCCCCGCCATGGTCCACAAGCCCATGCCTCACCTGCTCAGCCTCCCACCTGAGCAGGTCTCTTCAGCCACATCAGTTTGTTCTTCTCGGTTTCCCACCTGGAATCTGTAAGGTCTTATTCTAATGGTCATAAGTTATCAGAGAACTCTGCCACATGCCCCACAAACCTGATTGTTTTACCCTGGATTCCATCAACTCCTCTCTTCCCGGTCTATCTCTGTTCTTCGGAAATATTTACCCTCAGTCAGCTTCCCTGGCCACCTCCTCGCTTTCTCTGGGATCACTGTGGTCCTCAAAAGCTGCCAGGAGAGCCCTTTAAGAAGGTTCGGTTCCAAAACACACGCCCAGAACTTGTGAGGAGGTGCTGCACGCACAAAAGAGAGCCGTCACTCACCTGTTAGGTGGGTGCCACTGGGTGCCTGCCTTGTGTCAGGAGCACCCACGGTTTCTCTCTCCATCAACAGCTGCCCAGCACCTCCCCACTTACAGACTCCTGGCTCTTCCAGAAGTGAGGCCATTCCTTTTCAAGACCGGATTTTGCATTTTTTTTTTCTGTTCACGTTTGGAGCAGAGCCACGGTCACTGCAGAACGCAAAGCCGAGATGGAGCAGGAACCAGGCAGGCCAAGCCCGGGAGCCGGTGCGGGGCAGCATCTCGGTGCATGTGCGCTCACCAGCTACGATGCGGTGCCCCAAGGGCGCGTGGCCGAGGCTGGCAGAAGAGCGCAGCCGCGCCCGTCCTTCTTTCTGCCCTGCGTAGGGCAGTCTAGTCCCTGCACCTACTGTGAGCGGAGTGAGGAGTGATAAACAGTCCTACGTGCGACCGCATTAGGCCCAAGTCCTTTCAACATCTGTAAAGCAACCAAGCGTTCATCCGTCTCCAAGT